CATAGCAGAAGGCAGTAAGTACAGCGGAAAGAAACAAAGCAAGGAGGGAGTTGGGAGAGAGGGGATGGCTCTCTCTTGAAAGGGAGAATTCTTAAAGGAGAGTGTTCAGGGAAAACCTCACTGAGGAGGTTATGTTTGAATCTGGACTTGAAGGAATTGAGGGAGCAAGTCATGTGGGATCTAGAGGGGGGAACAGTATGTGCAAGGGCCCTGAGGTTATTTCAAGGATTGGTAAGAAGGTGAGTGTGATTGAGGCAGAGATGGAAAACCACTGGATTTTTCTGAACCTAAGAGTGATGTGCTCTGACTTACGTTTTAGAAATGAACTACTGGGGTGGGCGCGGTGGCTCACACCTGTAATCCCAGCACTTTTGGAGGCTGAGGCTGGTGAATCACCTGAGGCCAGGAGTTTGAGACCAGCCTGGACAACATGGTGAAACCCCATCTCTACTAAAAATACAAAAATTAGCTGGGCATGGTGGCACGCACCTGTAATCCCAGCTGCTCAGGAGGCTGAGGCAGGAGAATTGCTTGAACCTGTGAGGTGGAGGTTGCAGTGAGCCAAGACTGTACCACTGCACTCCAGCCTGGGCAACAGAGTAAGACTATATCTCAACAAAAAAAAAAGTGTTTATGAAGTGAAGGAACAAATAAATACAATTATAGATCTGACTGAAAGTGAAGGATGCCACTTACGCCAGGGAAGGCAGGTAAGCAGATGCTTCCCTTAATACCTAACAGTTTTTGAGTGCTCCCTACCTGCTGGGCATTTTCCTAATGCTTCTCGTACATATAGCTATCTCTTACAGGAAGGAACTGACTTATTTTACAGAGGAGGAGACTGAGCCTAGAGGGGTGAAGCAGCTTGTCTAAGATCCCACACTCAGCAAGAGATGGAGGCAGAACTTGAACAAGGCACTTAAAGTCCAGCTGGACTTTATACTTGCATGAGAGGAAGCAATTCATTTCCCCGTGGGCTTGCTTTCTGAGAAATTGTTGAGCCAGAGCAAAAGTACAAAAACTGGCTGGGTGTGTTGGCTCATGGCTATAATCCCAGCACTTTGGGAGGCTGAGGTGAGAGGATCGCTTGAGTCTAGGAGTTTGAGACCAGCTTGGGCAACATAGTGAGACCCCGTCTCTACAAAAAATAAAAAAAATAGCTGAGTGTGGTGGTGTGTGCCTGTAGTTCCAGCTACTCTGGAGGCTGAAGTGGGAGGATCACTTGAACCTTGGAGGTCCAGGCTGTAGTGAGTCATGATTGCCCCACTGCACTCCAGCCTGGGTGACAGAGTGAGACCCTGTCTCAAAAACAAAAACCAAAACTATCTCTGGGCTGGGTGTGGTGGTTCATGCCTGTAATCCCAGCACATTGGGAGACCGAGGCAGGTGTATCACCTGAGGTCAGGAGTTCGAGACCAGCCTGACCAATATGGTGAAAACCCATCTCTACTAAAAATACAAAAATTAGCTGGGTGTGGTGGTGTATGCCTGTAGTCCCAGCTACTCAACAGGCTGAGATGGGAGAATCGCTTGAATCTGGGAGACGGAGGTTGCAGTGAGCCAAGATCACGGCACTGCACTCCAGCCTGGCGACAGAGTGAGAGTGCATCTCAAAAAAAAAAAAAAAAAAGAAAGACTAAGTAAAGTAAATCATAATCAACTGACCACTAATAGAAGCACTAAAAAATTTTTTTAAATGAGCAAAATTTTAAGAAATACAAACATCTAAATATGGTTTAGCATATTCCTTTGTAAAGTTCAACTGTTCATAGTCAATATTGTTATCTTTTTTTTTTTGAGATGGGGTCTCACTCTGCTGCCCAGGTTAGAGTACAGTGGCACAATCATAGCTCACTGCAGCTTGAAACTCCTGGGCTTAAGCAATTCTCCCACCTCAGCCTCCTGAAGTGCTGGGACTATAAGTACAACTCTATGCCTGGCTGATTTTTAAATTTTTTTTTTGTAGAGATAGGGTCTGACTATGTTGCCCAGGCTGGTCTTGAACTCTTGACCTCAAGTGATCCTCCCACCTCTGCCTCCCAAAGTGTTGGGATTACAGGTGTGAACCACCATGTCCGGCCATAGTCAACATCTAATTTGGTCCTCATTCTTCTGCTAGGGCTCAAGAGAAGTGTAATTCCAAAACTTTCAGGGGTTCTTCCCCAAATGGGGCTCAGTTCCTGTGGTTTTGCCCTTCAGAGTATCTCTAAAGTCCACAGTACTTACAGCAGAGTGTCTTCACATTTCACAAGAAGCCTCAATGGCCTGCTTTCATTTATTGATGAGAAGGGCTTATTTTGCTTCCTAATTTCTGTATTACTAATAGTATCAGTGCCAAAAACATCCTGCTCGTTTTACCTTTTCAAGCCTTATTTCTGAGAAGGACATCTCTTTCCTCACTAATCAAATTTTCTGTTTCTTGTAAGCTGGAAAAGGATAAGAGGCATGTTCCTATAAACTCCCTGTCTTTCTCCTAATAACTCCCTTGCATCCACTCAACAAGTATTCATTGAGCACCTATTATGTGCTGAGAATTGCAATTAATCATGCTCTGGTAGCAGCTATCTTACTACCTTGTTGCTCTGATAATAGATATCTTAAATGACATAGTCACATAGTAAAGCTTCTAAAGTACATAGTAAAAATACTCAACAAGGTTATACAGCGACTTCTCCAAATGTGAAATCTGGAGAGTTCAAAATAAGTCAAGGAGTCTCTGTAGGTCCCTTCTTTCCTTTTTTTTTTTTTTTAAAGAATATGCCAGAACTTATTCAGACTATCTTTTTTTTTTTTTTTTAACCAAGTCTCGCTCTGTCACCCAGGCTGTAGTGCAGTGATATGACCTTGGCTTACTGAAACCTCTGTCTCCTGGGTTCAAGCAATTCTCCCGCCTCAGCCTCTCAAGAAGTAGCTGTGACTACAGGTACCTGCCATCCTGCCCAGATAATTTTTGTATTTTTAGTAGAGTCGGGGTTTCACCATGTTGGCCAGGCTGGTCTCGAACTCCTGACCCTGTGATCTGCCCTCCTTGGCCTCCCAAAGTGCTGGGATTACAGGAGTGAGCCACTGTGCCCAGCCAGACTATGCTTTTTCATTGCCTTGGATCGACTACACTGTTACACGTTAGGTAAAGAGGCAGAGAGTATGTTGTTAGCTCTCACAGCTAACTTGTAATCCAGCATTGGTCCAAGTTGTACACCAAAACATCACTTCCTGTGCAGATGTTAACACCTTGATTGACTGCAACAGTTTTGTTGGAGAGACAGTTGAGGTCTGAGATGTGCTAGTTTCCCATTTGTGTATTTGATCTTGAAGCAGCTGGTGAATCTGCACCCGCTGTTAGAGTCCAATCCATGTTTGTTAGTTTCAGTGGAGAAACTTCCATCATGAACTTTACCACTCTCCTTGCTGAACGGGGAAGGATGTTGCAAAATTGGCTTGATGCCTGAAAATATCTATTTACTGTGCTTCATGAAAAGATGTCTATGATTGAATAATGATGCTTGAGTACTTAGATGACTTCAGTCTGTAGGGGATGCCTCTCTCATTTGCCACCTGAAAAGGTGCAATTACCAAAATTGCTTATAATGCCTCTCCTTTAGGAGTTCATATTAGGAATCCCTTCAGGAGAATTCATTCATGCATTCATGCATGCATGCATTCATTCATCTCTCTCCCCCCGCCCCTAAAAGCAAGCTTGTTCTACCCATGTACCATGAACTTGTCTATCAACAAAGATGATTCACAAATTTTGATGTTCAAGATTACCTGATCACGGCTGGGTGCGGTGGCTCATACCTGTAATCCCAGCACTTTGGGAGGCCCAGGTGGGCAGATTGCTTGAGCCCAGGAGTTCGAGACCAGACTGGGCAACCTTGTCTCTACTAAAAATACAAAAATTAGCTAGGTGTAGTGGCATGTGCCTGTAATCCCACATACTTGAGAGTCTGAGGCAGGAGAATCTCTTGAATCCAGGACATGGAGGTTACAGTGAGCAGAGATCATGCCATTACACTCTAGCCTGCTGACAGAGCAAGACTCTGTTAAAAAAAAAAAAAAAGATTACCTCATTCCTGGAGATAGACCCAGTGGTGTGCTGGGAAGTGCTTGACAATCAGCACTTGCCAAAAAAATGAAGAAATGTTTTATTTGTAATGTTGCCGATTTCTCTGGTGTAAGTACTCCTACCACGGTTGATTTGAAGTCACCAACTGCAGGTGTGCACAACGGTTCTCACAAATCATGAGCCAGCTCCAGTACCCCAGTAGATGTGATCTGCACCCAAATCTCCACCCACTTGCTGATTTCATTACCTCATTCATACGTGGGCCATCTGGAGCTCCCATAAGAGGAGTTCAGGGTTGGGGTGAAAGTGGCATTCATAGCTGAGTGAGAAACAGTCTAACATAATTATCAGGCACGTGGATTCTGGTCCATGTCAAGTGCATATGTAGTTCAGATCTCAGCTCTGCCATTAACTATTGTATCATCCAGGACATGTTGCTTGTCTCGCTGTTTCTGTTTTACCTTGAAAGCAGAGGGCCTCATTGGAATAGCCTGTGGACTTAAATGGACTTATATTTGTAAAGTGCTTAGAATAGTGTCAATCACACAGTGTGTGTCATGCAAATGTTTGTTGAATAAATAAGACTCATTCCACAAATATTTACTGAGTGCCTAGTTTGGGCCAAGCGCAGGCACTAAGCATTATGGATGTGACAGAGACGGAAGCACAGTTTCTCCCCTTAGGAGTTCAGCGTGTAGTGTAGTGGGGGAGAGGTAATGCACACACATTGCCTTGATGTAAAGAAGAAATGAAAACATCTAACTTTTATTGAGAATTATGTGGCAGATACTTCGATAAATACTTAATATACATTATTTTATTTCCGTTTGGTCATCACTTAAGAGGTATCACTTTTTTTTCTTTTTTTTCAGATGGAGTCTTGCCCTGTTGCCCAGGCTGGATTGCGGTGGTGCAACCTCGGCTCACTGCAACCCCCACCTCCTGAGTTCAACAATTCTCCTGCCTCAGCCTCCTGAGTAGCTGGGATTACAGGTGTGTGCCACCCCACTCAGCTAATTTTTGTATTTTTAGTAGAGACAGGGTTTCACCATGTTGGGCAGGCTGTCTCCAACTCCTGACCTCAAGTGGTCTGCCCGCCTCGGCCTCCCGAAGTGCTGGGATTACAGGCGTGAGCCACTGCAAGAGGTAACATCTTTGTTTGTAAAACTAACATTGAAGAATTAGTAGTAAAGCTAAGCATTTAAAAACATCTGGCCACTTATAGTTCTTTCGTTATCAAGAGTTCCTTTCATTATCCATTTTTATGAAGGGGCATTTGTATACTTAAATTAACTTTCCTAAGTTTTATACTATGGAAACTTCAAATATACAAAATAGAGCCAATGATATAATACACCTCTAGATACCCATCATCTAACTTCATTAATATGGTTTGGCTCTGTGTCCCCACCAAAATCTCATCTCAAATTGTAATTCCCATGTGTCAAGGGAGGAAAGTGATTGGATTATGGAGTCGGTTTCCCTCCTGCTGTTCTCATGATAGTGAGTGAATTCTCACTAGATCTGATGGTTTTATACATGGTAGTTTTTCCTGTGTGCTCTCTCTCTGTCCTGCTGCCTTGTGAAGAAGGTGCCTGCTTCCCTTTCCCCTTCCACCGTGATTGTAAGTTTCCTGAGGCTTCCCCAGCCATGTGGAACTGCGAGTCAATTAAATCTCTTTCCTTTAATTACTCATCTCAGGGAAGTTCTTTCTAGTATTGTGAGAACAGACTAATACATTCACCAATTATCAACCTATGGCCACTTTTGATTCATTCATACCCCTGTCCGCTTCTTTCACCTGGATTGTTAAGAAGAAAATTCCAGACATCATATAATTCCATCCACACTACCCCAATTTCACAGATGAGAAAAGCGAGGCTCAGTCAAAGTTACACAGTTAGTAAGTGGCAAAGCTGGGACATGAACCCCAGTCTATTTCACTCCAAAGTCCACACTTTTAATTTTTTTAATTTTGCTAAAATTGGGGGGAGATTGCAAGTACCCCAAGTTAGGGAAGGAAATGGGAGCACGGAAGCTTGGAAGAAATCCAGGAGAGTTTTGCAAAAAAAAAAAAAAAAATATATATATATATATATATATACACACACACACACACACACACACACACATGTGTATATATAATTTCAGGCTGTTGAAATGGAGGTGGGGATTTTCAGGAGACATAAAAAGCTTGCCTTGAGCCACAGAGGAAAATGATTAGAGGTTGGGCTGTGGGTTTGAAGAGAATTATTGAAGGTGTGGGGAGTGGGTTAACTTAATTGGTATCATCTGGGAGGTCTTGTTTAAAATGCTGATTGCTGGGATCCTCTGCAGACCTCCTGAGTATGACTTTCTGGGACTTGGGGCCTAAGGATCTATTTTTAACAAGCTCCCCTGGAGTTTCTGATTTTATTATCCTATATAGTTTGAAAACCAAATGGAGCCATTAGCTGGAACCATCAGGACTGTAGGGACAATCATTCAGCAATTTTATTTTTGTTTCCCACTGTGTGTTCAAACCTGTTATGCAGCCCTGAGAGAAATTCCTGGGAAGCCCCAATGCCTTTCTCGGCCGTTATTAGTCACTCGGTTCTCCAGGCATCTCAAGCTGTACGTAGAAAAGTCTCATTTCAGCAAATACGTGTAAGGCTTTAAATTCCATTTAAAGAGGTTTGAAAGGAAATGAAAGTCTCTCTCTTCCTGTGCTAGGGCATGCTTTGGGCTGGCAGTGCACGGTGGGAAAGAAGGGCTTGGACATCTCTTTCTCTCTTTCCTGGTCCAGGTTTCTCCTCGTTTTTTGTTTGAGACAGGGTCTGGCTCTGTCGCCCATGCTGGAGTGCAGTGGCACAATCTCAGCTCACTGCAACCTCCTCCTCCTGGGTTCAAGTGATTCGTGTGCCTCAGCCTCCCGAGTAGCTGAGATTACAGGTGCCCGCCACTCCTCCTCTTGACTAATTTTTGTGTTTTTAGTAGAGATGGGGTTTCACCATGTTGGCTAGGCTGGTCTTGAAATCCTGACCTCAGGTGATCCATCTACCTTGGCCTCTCAAAGTGTTGGGATTACAAACATGAGCCACCACATCTGGCAGGGCTTCTCCTCCTCTTGCCTTACTCATCCAGCTGCCTCCAAATTCTCCAAAGCTACATCAGAAAGTGCCTAAAGGATAGAAACATTCTTTTACTTTAACACTGCAATATAGACAATAAATGATATCAATTTTCTAGCTCACAAAATTGGTCTTCATATGTGTTTGTCCTGCCCTTTGCTTTGTTTGTTGTTGTTGTTGAACTTTTAATTTTGGCAACTATTTCTTTGAATTTACAAGGACTCGGTTCCTTTGTATTGTTGGCAGCCTCAGTTCGATTTAAGAATGTGGTATCTACTCAAATATCTCTTAGTATATTACCCATACTTCTTTGAGAAGTCTCTTCTGATTTTTTGTATTAACTGTACTTCATTTGGTGTTAGCTCCTCTGTTTATTCAGCCTCCTACCTTCTGTTTCATGCTGTTTGCTTCAACTATTTGGTTGTTTGGATTGAAGTGTGGTTCTTTCAGCATAATTGAAAATCAATGTGGCTCAGGCAGTGAATGTGGATTATGGTGACAGGGAATTTGGTGTGGGGAATATGCAGGGTAACTGAGTTTTCCCTTAAGGAATGTGGACAGTGCCTGGCTTGTGGGAGGGACTTGGGGACACTGGTCTGTTTCTCCCTGAAGCCTCAATTCTTCCTCGTGAAATTCTCCTGTGGCAGAGCCCCTACTGTATTAAGAGCATCCTTCTTCCATCAAGACAGTCAGGCTGGGCGCAGTGGCTCACACCTGTAATCCCAGCACTTTGGGAGGCCGACGCAGGCAGATCACCTGGGGTTAGAAGTTCGAAACCAGCTCTGGCCAACATGGCGAAAGCCATCTCAACTAAAAATACAAAAATTATCTGGGCATGGTGACACATGTCTGTAATCCCAGCTACTCGGGAGGCTGAGGTAAGAGAATCGCCTGAACCTGATGGAGGTTGCAGTGAGCTGATATTGTGCCACTGCACTCCAGCCTGGGTGACAGAGTGAGACTCTGTCTCAAAAAAAAAAAAAAAAAAAAAAAAGGCAATCGGTCATGCCAGTATGATTTAATATTTTGTAATGTAAATTATCATATTAGTAGGCCAAAAAGAAAAAACTATGTCATTTCAATAAATGCAAGAACAGATATTCAATACATTTTAAAGTCCAATGCTGATTTAGTTACATAATAATAGGTGGACATGTACTTAACATGACAAAAAGTATAAAAATATATAATATATAAATATACATTTATATACTTCATATAAAAATATATAATTCACACACATTTATACACATAGCAAACAACAACAACAAAACAACAAGCCAGTGCTTTGCTTTGGGGTGAAATGTTGAAACATTTCCCACTAAAGCGAGAAATTAAATGAGGGCTGCAGTCACAATTATTAATACCTTTTTAATTATACAAGTAATGCGTACTATAATATAAAATTTAAACTTTTCAGAAAAACATAATAAAAAGTGAAAGCCCTCCCTATAATTGCATGCTCTTAAAATATCAATTCAATCGTTTGATGCCTTTTCTCCTAATTTTATTTTCCTAAGAAAATACTAAGATTTATTACACTTTTTTTGGATGGGTCATAAAATGGGATCAAAGAACTAGTCAACACACTTAGAAAAGAATATCAAGTGGCATAACAGTCTTAATTGAGGACCCAAAATTATTGTTATTTGTAGATGTTTCAACTATCTATTGATGTGTAACAAACTACCCCAAAACTCAGTGACTTAAGATAATAGCCATTTTATTTGCTCCTGATTCTGCCAATTTGGAAGGGTTTTTCTGTCTTTGTCTCTTTATGGCCTTTGCACGCGGTCTTTCCAGCGAAAGAATCCGACTTTGCGCAAAGTGGATTAGGGTTCCCAACAGCACAAAACCATAAACTACTGGGCTTCTTAAGGATTAGGCACAATGTCACTTCCATTCCTTTCTATTAATTGAAAGCAAGCCACAGACCCAGCCTAGAACCAAGGGCAAGAGACTACACAACGGTGCAAACACCAGGAGGTGTGGTTTATTGGGACAACAATTTAACAAATTACCATGATAGATAGTAAGACTTTAGTTATAGACACATAAGAGAATCAACCACAAAATGATTAGGAATGATAAAAGCATTTACTTAAATAATGGATAACAGAATAGATTAAAAATAACTAATTGTTAACTATATATTACCTTATATAATTAGATATATTTTCCTATATATTATACATATAACTAGATATTATAGATTGTGTATCTATACCTACAATGTTACTTATGAAGGTTAATGAAATCAAAGACAGCATTTACAATACCAATAATATATGTATATATTTTTGAGACAGAGTCTTGCTCTGTCACCCAGGCTGGAGTGCAGTGGCATGGTCTTGGTTCACTGCAACCTCTACCTCCCGGGTTTAAGCAATTCTCATGCCTCAGCCTCCTGAGTAGCTGGGACTATAGGCACATGCCACCATGCCCAACTAATTTTTATATTTTTAGTAGAGATGGGGTTTCACTATATTGCCCAGGCTAGTCTCGAGTTTCTGACCTCAAGCAATCTGTCCACCTTGGCCTCCCAAAGTGCTGGGATTACAGCAGTGAGCTACTGTGCCTGGCCCCAATAATACTTTATTTCATGAATATTTATTTTGGCCACTACCACATAGCAAGTATTATGCTAGGCCACAGCTATATAGAAGTACACAGAACAGAGAGAAGTTTTACCCTCATGAAACCTGTAGTCTAAAGAAGTGGGCATACATTAAACAAAATCCCTGATGGAAGGAAGAATTTAGTGCATCAGTGAGCTATTGCTTTGATAAATGCTGTGTAACAAACAATCCCTTAATTGTTTTAAATCTTAGTAGTTTGAAGCAATAAACATCTATTGTTCTGCTCAACAGTGTGCAAGTTGCT